AAAGAATATCAAGTTACTTTCTTAAAACATAAATGAAGTATCACCGGACGTATTGCATAGATAAAAATTATTCTAGGTCAAAGTTTACCGTCTGATTTACGCTCTGTTAAAAGTCCTCCAATAATTGTCTGTCCTAAAAAACTTTAATTCATAGGAATTAAGGTCATTTCAACTCACTTACAAACAGAAATATTGCTTAAAACAGAGTAATCACTTGATGAATAAACTGTAGGCATAAAAATTTTAATATTTTTATTTTGAATTGCTGCTAAGTAGACTTCAAACTACTTTTATAGAATGTTAACAAGAAATTCAGTGAAGAGCAAATGTAGCTTTTCAGTCAGGTTTACACGATAAGAATTTTTTGTTGGATGTTTTCTAGCTCATAATAAAACTTTTCTACTTTTTAAAAATGCGGTGGCTGAAAATTTCCAAATAAATGATTTCATAGAAAACAGTTAAGTTGTGAAAAGAATTTGCAGTAAAATGACTTTTATTTTGAGAAAATGTAATAAATAAGACCGAAAAAATTCTGTGCTATAGTATTCTGCGTATACTCACCTTTCGATAATATTTGAAAAAATCTTTATTACCAGAAAAGATTGAATAAAGTTTATAACTGTAAGGTCGTCAACAAACCTTGCTCAGTGAGGAAACTGTCCCACATGACGTCAACGACTTCAGTGCAAATCAGTATACCAGCATGAACCGTCAACATTTTCAACACAAATGCACCGTCAATTTTGATGTAATTTCTGACAAACTGTAAATTTACACTATGCTTATCAAAACTTTAATTAAGCCTTTTTTTTTTCCAATGTAATTTAGTGGAAAAATTAAAGATGTTTAGCAGTGAATCTAAATTCTATGTTAAATTCACCTGCAAAATAATTTCTTTAAGCAGATCAGTTAACAAATTATACACTGCCACCTACCTCATCTAACTCATATCTAACATTTTTTCGTTCAAACTCTACATCAGCTAATTCCAGTCGTCTAGCAATAAATCTGAAAACAAACAAATGCTGCTGGTAGTTTAAAAATATGAACGATAGCAGTCTCAGAAAGCGTTTATCAACTTCTATAAACTGCTGTAAAAATAAAAAGCTTAAACGCTTTAATCTCTGCTTTAAAAATGCAAAACACTAACTTTTTTCTTTGCTCAAATGGCAGCGCAAAGAAAATCCAAGTAAAGCAGCTAACTAATGAGATTACTGCTAATATTATATACCACATCCATAATAATATAAACACCTAAAAAAAGATTTTTAGCATAAAATTTCAAATGAAATGAATTATTATTAGAGCTGTATTACCTAGAATAACAGAACAGCTATGGTCATTTGACTTCAAATTTGCAAATTTAGAAACATATTATTCGCCAATGTATTACAAAGATGATTAGTAGAATAGCTTTTGAAAAAGTTAGCCTTTGTTATCACAAACAGTGTCTGTGACAACTTGTACAGTTTTCTCAGTTGTTAAAACAGTGACTAAGCTTGAAAGTTAAAAAACATCTCTGATCTTTTGCTGAAAAAGACAAATAACAGTTTTTCAAGAACCCCAACTACTAGTAATATAGTTACCTTTTCAGTGAATATGTTTATGACAAGAACACATTGAACAGTATGCCGTTGAACATTCCCCAAGATTCTGATGTTCATATCGCAAAGTGTAACTCGCGGGAAATTTCCAGATTCTTGCCATGCTAAACAGATAACAGTTTTTGCAAAAAAAAAAAGCTTCCGTAATATAAATATTACGAAACAGAAAGATATGTATATATGCTCAAAAACGATTAACACAGACGTCGCCCATTGATCAAATCTTTAAGGACTTCGAAACCGTAAAAACCATATCTGTCGGTTTGCAGAAATCGATTTATCAGAAACATCTAAAGAAATAACTTTTGCTTTGACAGAAAATAATTTTTTCTTGATAAGACTAAGCTATTGTTACTGTGATTAACTTATTTGCAATTCTCTTCTTAAAAATTTTATCAAAATTATATGTTTTATTGTTTTTTTTGGGTACTTTTCTTATGCAACCAAATCTTCCAAACATCATTTTTCTGGCAGTTCAGTAAAAATCAAAAAGCAAGAAATGGTGTTTTTGTCTGCTGTAACTTGAGTAAGATATAAAAATATCATTACCTGGCCAGCAACGTTAACAAAGTATAAAAGTTTGATTATTATATAAAGAGCTGTTAAGTAAGCCTCGTAAAAGCGGAAATTAAGAATTCTTAAGAATCTGTGGTGATAAGGGTGAGAAGTGCCAAAGCGGAATCGATGCTTAAAAACAGACGACAGATGAGCTGCCAGTCCTTCAATATTGCATTGTCTTGTTGCTAAAAAAAAGTTGATCAAAACTCTGAAAAGTCTACCCTAATTCTCCTGTTTTTTAGTAGCCAAAAAATGCAGGTTTGATCGTTTTAGTCAAATCGTAATAATCAGTTTGAAAAAGGCTTTTTTCTTTTCTGTTGTAGCTTTTAACTAAATGTCATCAAGGGTAAATTGTAAAAATTGTTCATAATATATATAACCTGGTTGAACATTCGACTTATCTGTTGCAAACTGCATAATATCCTTTAAACGTATTCCTGAAAAAAAAATTTGATCACTTGCATCATACGATTAAAAAGTTTTTTCAATTAGGGTCATTCAACACTCTTTTCTTTCTATTTTTACAGATTACCATAAACAACGAAAAAGATTTTTTTTTCAAAAAGACGGGCTTGTGGAAAAAGATTAAAGTTAATTAAAGTAAGAGGTTCTGCTAGTATTTTGTAAATAATAAAGTTGCAGCAATTTGTATCTTACTTTGAATTTACAAAGCGCAGTATAGCAGTCTATAAAATCACTCTTTGGCAGAAAGTAGATATAAAACAAGAGATTTTAGGATTACACCACACAGATTTTCAATAAAAAAGCATTTGGTATCAAAATGTAATATTTGCAATGCTTTCTTTTGAAAAAATTAGGCAGTAGATTGCTGCTGAAACTTCAAGTGCAGAGAAGTATCAAAGACTAAAGATATGCCAATAATAAATTTCAACAGAAATTTTGGTGGTCTAATTCCTTGTACAAAAGCGTCTTCTTTCCTTATAGTTTTCAGATTTTGATTTTATATCTAAAACTTTTGTCTAAAATTTCTTTATTTTTATCTTTCCTTGTAGAAGCAGATGTTCAAGTCCCTACTTTATCTGGAATTGTACAGAGAAAGATAGACGGTTCTCACAATTTAAAAGTCAGAAAATAAAAAACTATATTTACTTTTTATAGTTAAATAAAATTAATTATGAAGTTGGAAAATACTATAGCGTTGACTTTACTGTTGCATATCAGATGGTTCTCAGTGAAGTTTCTTAAATGAGCAAATATTTAGAAGCATTTCTGGTTGTTCCTTCCAGTTGCCTCATCCTACGTTTAAAAAAAAGCTTTACTTTTCATAATATTCTTCTGCAGCAGATAGTTACTCACAATGATGCTTTTGTATGGCTGATAAAATAACTCTTCACGGAGTCTTTCATTAAGTACTAAATGTTCCGCTATAGTCGCTCACAGTTCAAACCAGTTTGCGTAGTTGGAATAATTTTCTTGACTTTGGAAAGTATCTGAAGATTTAGCGTCACCTTGACTTCCTCTCGTATACAGCCGCATTTAGGCAGCTCCGCAAACAGATCAATTGAGATCAACGAGCAGCGGTCTTCTTGTAATAAATAATCGCTTTGCTTTTATCTGCTATCTTCTTCAAATTTTCTGGATGTATTTCACTTAATATTCCTTTTTCAGTTTTTCACAGTTTGTAGGTTGCTTCTGTTTTACTTCGATTTTATTTTCTAAGGTACTTCTCTAAAGTTATCAAGTCTTATTTTTTAGAAATTCCTGAAAAGTTCTTTGTTACGTAGTGAGAAATTGATGAGCTTTTGCACTTTCCTGTTATCGTTCTTGTCTTAAAAGCATCCATTCTAGAAATTGATCCCTTACTCATTCTAGTTCCTTTTATAAATCAGAGTTACTTTTTTCTGGTAGAGCTGTCAATTAACCATTGTACTGGTTACTCCTATTTCGCTACAGAAGACGGTTAATACACTTGTTGTTTGAAATAAATTCCAAAACTTTTAAAGTTTGACACTAGAACTTTATTACGAAAAATAAAAATTATTTTACCGACTCCACTTTGAATTTGCTAAACATTAGCAAAATCAGAACTTCTTAAACATTTCTCTCACCAAAATTTCCACTTTACTCCAAATTATATGCAGAAAGTACTTAGAAGCAACCTCGGCATAACTCAGCTTCTTCAAAAA